TATCATATTGACGTTTCAACCGTGCCTGGCTAACAATACAGAAGTTACAATGATGTGGCTCATGTGCACTCATGTTACCATATCAAATAACATAAAACTGACCTTTGGTCTGTGCAAAGTAACTTTTCTTGGCTGTGTTTTAGTAGACTAGTATTTTGTAAAATACAGTCACGTTTCAGTTATTATACATTATATATGTATATAGATTGTTGCTATTTTGAAAGAACTTGTTAAAGTTATTTTTCCTAAAACATAGAATAGTAAATAAAGAAGTAAAGCAAACAAATATCTTTTCTAGTTATGACCTTTGTACTCGGTTGCTGCTTGACATAGGTTGCTAAACCTTTAAAAAATTTGCATGTGGAGGATATGAAACAAAATAATTTTTTTAGGTTTTATATATACATTTGAATAACTAAAAAATCATAAATTACTACATCAGTACCATTAGAATTCCACTATAATATATCAAGTTTAGTTACTAAGATATATTTTAGTCTGAAAAAATATGAAATTTCGAGCAGACTAAAGACACACCTAACCTCGTTGAAATATTGGTTCAAAAAAAAGAATTGGCTGAGAAAGCCACTAAGGGGACATTCTGAGCTTCCAATTGGTTATTCATATCATATATATATATAGAAATAAGTGTATAAAAGGGAGCATTTCTAAAAATGGAAACAGGAGGGCAGGGTGCCACTGTGTTTTATTTATTACATGAGCAATATCTTAGAAAATAGAAAAGATAATACATTCTTATTTTATATTCTAGCTTGTCAATATTGGTAATTTGAGGTTTTAATTTGTATGAAACTATAGACATAGTATTTTGACTTCACAAACATCTAATTTGAACCAGTGCTGCATTCAACATACCATATGACACACAAAAATCGATGTTTGCCTGGGTTTTTTTAATATTTGCTTTTAAATTAACAAATTGAGTAATGTATAGTACTAAAATTTGAATTATAATCTATAGTTTGATACCAAAGTTATTGACATAAAATCATGAAATAGTTGTTCAATAAAATTTTGAATGCAAGTCAACAAATGATATGACATGGCCTTTCACCCATGACCCATCTCGAAAGGGTTAATAAGTATTATAACAATCACAGTTATAGCTTCCGAAGTTTATAGCACACCAACTATAGCAAACCAATAATAGATACTGTTTTTAGGCATGTCGTGTTGGTTATAATTATAGGTGTGTGGATAGTTTCTCGAAATTTCAGTTATGCAACAATACAAATGCTACAATAGCATTTATGTACACATATATATTGTTGATTCTTATATTCAAGAATCTTCTACAATTTTAGAGAATATGCAAGAGTTTTGCGATACATATTTAACAGTATAATTTATGTACATTTCTAAATATAAATTTAATTTAAACAAACATCGATATTAAAATACATATATAATAATAAATCCATCACAATGTACATTTAAATCTTCATGTGTGTATCTTATATTCTTCACAATGATCAAAGACAAACCTTCACAAAAATATCTGGTATTTAAAATGTAACTTAATAGGTTTAAAGTATTGAAAAAAGGAAAACAAAAATAGAATGAATTATAATTAAAGTTGTAAGAACTGCTTACTCTGAATATTTAGATGTTCTGTAGACAATTATCTTTCTGAATATTTATTAATAAATGTTTGTCACTATGTAGCTGTTCCAGAAGACAAGTGTCAAAAGAATGATGACTGTTCTGAAACAAAATTATGCCAGTCTACTGAATCAGGAATAAAAGACTGTATTGGTAAATGAGCTTTTACATTCTCATACTGCTTCTACAATAAGATAAGGTTGTTTTATTTTACCTAAAATATAATACATCTTAAAAGTTTTATTGTTAAAGTAATAAAATATTCAAAATGTCTACTTGTACAAGAATAATGAGTGAACATTTTAATTAGAGAAATAACATTAGCCTGTACTTTTCAGATGTCTGTGCCAAAAGGAAATGTGGTCCAAATTCACAGTGTCTTGGTTTGGGACACACTTCAATTTGTGAATGTTTTCCTGGATTCTCAGGCATTCCAGATGACCTTGTAAATGGTTGCCAACGTGAGTTGCTTCAAATGTCTCTGCAATTTTAATTTTTCAAAAATAATATAACAAGTTGACTTAGTCCATTTTATTGAGACACACTTGTATACTTTTACATAAAAACTTTCAAACTTTAACAAGAAAATAGGTGATATAGTAAAATAGTTTGATTTTTATGATTAGCAAAAGCACCACTAACAGATGAAGGTTAAAATCATAAATATGTCTAAGTGACAATAAAGTATGAGCAATTTGATTAAAAATTGCTTTGCATTAATAAAATCTGCAGACTTACACCACTAGAATCCGGGTTTTGATACCAGTGTTGGGCTGAGCAGAGATAACCCATTGTGTTGCTTTGTGCTTAATTACAAACATACAAAAGCATTCATAAAACAAGTGTTTGGGTAATTGTTGTACTATTTAAAATTGAATATTTTCAAGCATAGTCCATGTGAAAATAGCCTATAAAAACACCTCTAAGATATTGAAATAATGATAAGGAGGATTTTGTCACATAACATTGGTTTGAAGACAGAGAGATACTTTATGTATAAGTGTAAATCATAGTTATGTGCTTTAATAGGATATATTTCAATTAGAGATTACACTTTAAGTGAGAGTGAGAAAGACTTTTCAATGCTGCCTTGAATTATATTTAGTAAAAGATAAATATAACAAAGTAACACATAAATCAAGCTGAGTTAAAACTAAATGCTATAGAGTTTTTTTTTAAAGGTAAATTGCTTTAGGTAATGATCATTATTTTTGTATTCTGTATCTGTATGTTACTTGGTTAAATATAACAGTGACAGTAACAAATTAAGGGTATTTCATGTCAAGCTGAATGAAACTAGCTCTATTTTCTAAATTTCTTTTTTCCATGCAACTGATTACTTTTCTGTTTAAAAAAAACATTTGAATTAAGTATGTTTATGGAGGTTTATGAATAATTAAATATGCATCTTATCATATACAGGTGATATTTGCACAACAGATAATGATTGCCCAGCCAGTCAAACATGTGAAAGGGAAACTCCACAGAAAATTAAAAACTGTATTGGTTAGTATTAAAATTTTATGTCTTAAAATATGTTTTATATTTTAGAAAAGGAATAAAATTGGTGTTCTTTTTAATTTATGTACCAAAAATCATATTCCCTTATTATGTTCTGTTTTCTTTTCTCCACATTATGTGAATTCTAAGATGAGACAGAGAGCCATTGTAGATGGTGATGCATGGTAACTAACATACAGTTTATCTATGATAGCTTTAAAACTTTTCACTCTGGATACTTCATTTACTTGATCATGCACAGAGAGTTTCAGTCTGTGGTTAGATCAATTCCATGTGACAATCATAGCAGATTTGTCTTTCATGGTACCACTATTTTTATCAAACATTGCTGCACCATGACAGGCCAGGTGGCCTTTTAAAAATCATCAGTGAATCTTAAAGCTTTCACAGTGCCCATTAAAACATTTAAAATACTATTAGCACTTGCATCTGAAAGTTGAGCTAATTCTAGGAACAGATTAACAGTATTTTCTATGTAAAAGTCATCAAGAAATGCATGGTTCAGTACATTGGTCTCATCAATTAGGATAGAAACTTTTGACTTAGTCTCATGCAGTTACATTGCACAACAGTTTTTTTTGTCGTTTCTATTGAAATATGATTAATAATACTTACACAGGCAACTTTTTAATGAAGTATTTGGCCTATATAAAATCTATTTAGTTGTTGGATATTGACTTTAAAATCATGAAATGATTTATTCCACTTAACTAATTGTAGGAAAACATAATCACTGAGTGTAATTTTAAACTGCTGTCATGCAGTTTTACTTAAGTCCTTTTACTTTTGGCAGTTTCAGTAATTTTTAGAATTGTTTTATAAGCTGCACTGTCTCTGTGCAGATATGTTTTCTTTTTTCCTCAGTGCATTTTGTTGGCATGACTACACTGCCATGAAGGCTTATCTCACACCTTGTCCACTTTGTTGAGCTGTCTTTACATCACTGTGAAGGTTTATCTCACACCTTGTATATACTTTGTTGGACTGACTTTGAAGGCTTTGAATTACTATGAAGGCTTATCTCACTCACACCTTGTTGACCTGACTTTACTATAAAGGCTTATCTCACACCTTGTCCACTTTGTTATCTTAACTTTATACTGCTATGAAGGCTTACCTCACATGTTAGGCTGACTTTATACTACTTTGAAGATATATCTCACATCTTTTCTACTAAATTTTTTTGGGCTTAATATTCCTACTTTAAAATAAGCAGCATTCAGGTTTTCCATTTTCCACAACTAGTCATTCATTTGTTTTGCTTTTTTTTTATATAAATCAAATTTATTTTGGAGAATCCATCATTCAATAAACCACTGTTTTTTAAAAGTTCTTCATTACTCACCAGATTTGATGAATCCATTTGGTATCACTGGAACTGGAGCCTGTTTGTCATCATTAACGTTCTCAACATCATGATCTTTAAAATTTTGTTATATTTGATTCTCACACACCTTTTTAAAAAATAAAAAGTTATTTTCTTACTGAAGTTCTATTTTTTTTTATCAAAATATAATTCATTAAAAATAACACTTTGCCCATCACTCTTGTAAATTAATCAGCAGTTGCAAAATACAGACGTAAACATCAGTTGGAATTTTTGTGGAAGATTTCATCTATCTAGGTATTTTGTTGTGCAAACGTAATTTTCATTAAATAACTTAAATCTTTAGATTTTCTTACATTTAGATATGTATTAGCTGTCTTACAATAAAGCAATATCTTTTCAGATGTTTGTAAGGAGAAGCAGTGTGGTCCTAATGCTGAGTGCATAGCCTCTAACCATCAAGCTCAATGTAAATGTAAATCTAATTTTGAAGGTGATGGTGATAATGTGATAGAGGGTTGCAAGCGTAAGTAATTGCATGATTTTCATCTTTTTTATTGTTATCTGAAAATGTTTAAATACAGAATTAAATTGCTGTTATATAATAAATTATTATTCTTTATGTAAAATTTTAGTTTTTTGCCATTATTTCTTAAAGAAGTGAAAAATACCACACATCCAGGTTTAAATATATATTAAGATTCAAGAGATACTTCACATGAGCATTTGGAATTTTTGGACTCAGTTTAGAAATATAGTTCTCTTAGGAATAGTTAAGTATCACATTTCTTAGAGTTATGAAATTTGAGGCTAGTCTTTCATTATCATATTTTATACCTCTTTATTTAAATGTTATTTTTAAAGTCTGGGTATTATTTCAAATTGTAGATACAACTAATTATTGTAATTGTTATATTCTAATGTTTTTTTGCATTTTTCCAATTCATTTGTGTTTATAAACACTATATTTTTTAATTGCAGTAAGTAACAGTACCATTTTTGTATATCTATTTTAAATTTGTTCATACCGTAGATATCCAAATAAGGATACACACTTAGAAAATTGTTCCTACACTTGCATATATATTTCGCAGTTGCATCAGTAAGTAGTTGTATAACTTGTTTAGGGCAGTGAGCATATGCAGTTAGAAAGAAAATATGTAGCTTGATATGCCTTAATAAGCATATGTTTAGAAGACTGTTTTAATACACAGCTAGAAATCTCAAGTTATTTTGCAATATACTGGCATTTTTGGAAATTACAATGCTTTAAACACAGTTATGCAGAACAATGGAGTCATTTCAAATGTTTATTCACTCTTCTTTCATTCCTTATTAAACAAAATGACAAATGTCCTTTCCACTGTGCTATCTTCCAAAAAATGCATTGTTTCTGCATTGCAAAGGGTATTGATTCCTAACCCCTGTCACATCTACTGTACTTCATTAATGCACACAGCTTATCTATCAGTGATAAGTAATACTGAAAAATGTACAGAAATGCCTTGATCATATTTGATGAGACATCAAAGTCAACTGCTGTTGTTAATATACCATTTGTTTATAGCCAAGTACTATCATGACTGTTACACAAGTAGTTAGCATTTTATGACCTGGTGTTGTTTTTGTTTGAAATATATCATTGTGTTTAAACTTTGTTTTTCAATTTTTGAGATGTGCATCTAATAGTTACTAGCTGTAATGAAGTGTATTTTAATGTTTTATAAATAATTTTTGAAATTAATAAGCTTCTTATTAGAAAAATGTCCATATATTATATTGATGTTTAGAGTTTTTCTAATTTGGAGTTGTTTTTACAGCTGTTGATAAATGCAAAACTAATGGAGATTGTCCAGATAAAGATATTTGCAAACTCAATCAAAATGGAATTAAAGATTGTATATGTAAGTATTAAATTCTTTATGTGATATTCTAGTTGCATATATGAAGGTATAAAAAAATGCTGTTTGATAGAGAATATGAATTGAAAGGAATC